ATTTAGCTACCAGATGACTGTGCTTGTCTCAGAACTTATTTTATCCTGTTTTCCTGGTAGTAATAAACCATTCTTATTTTGAGGTTCCTGTTACTTGCAGAATGAGCCCTGGTGGTGCAGTGGTTCAGCACTCAGTGCTAACCAAAAGACTGCCGGTTTGAATTCACCAGTCACTCCACTGGATAAAGATGGGCAATCTGCTTCCTTATAAATCACATCCTCAGAAATCCTATGGGACAGTTCTACTTTGTCCTATAGGGTTGCTATGAGTTGAAATTGACTTGACGGGAACAGGTTTGGTGTTTTGACTTATCACTTGTAACCAAACATAATCCTGATGTAGAATTTGGTACCTGGAGTGAAGACCTGTACAAAAGTACAGGCCTAGCTCAGGTAAGAGAATATGGAGGCATATTTAAGGACTCAGCAATTTCAGAATGGAGAGCTGATGACTCTTGTTAGTATCAAAACCTTCAGTCAACTCATTGCACCTTGGAAGGCTGCCCGTGTGCTGACCAAAGTTGTTATATGCCTTTACATCAGTTCCGACTCATAGTGACCCTGTATAAGGTTTCTGAGCAGTAGCTGGTGGGTTTGAACTGCTGACCTTGTTGTTCGCAGTCAGTCCAGTGCTGGTCCTGAAGCACCACACCAGGAGTAGGACTGTTTTTAGAAGACTGGTGACTGCTGGCTCCTTCCTGCTACATTTAGCAAACTCTGGTACAGGGAGTGGAATTTAGGCAAACTTTGTAGACGACGCAGCACTTTTTAAAAAAAAATGTGGTTGTTGTTGGTTGTTGTTGTTGGTTGTTGTTGTTGTTTTGAGTCGGTTCCCACCCATAGCGACCCTGTACAGGGTTTCCAAGGGTGTAAATCTTTACGAGAGTAGAAAGCCTCATCTTTCTCCCACGGAGCAGCTGGTAGTTTCGAACCACTGACCTTAAGGCTCGCAGCCCGATTCATAACCACTATGCTACCAGAGCTCCTTTTATTACCATTTGACAAAACATAACATAAAGTTGACTGAAACAGTACAGCATTGATCCAGGAACAAATAGGTCAATGGGGAAAAAAAATAGAGGGTTCAAAACACACCCATGCATATATAAAGATTCCACTGTTATAAATGAAACTTCAAATCCACAGGAAAAAGATGAATGATACGAGAAATGGTGTCAGTGAAACCATCTGGCTCTCTCCTTGGCAAGGTGTGTCCCCTGCAGATAGCATATTGGAGGATCTTGTTTTCTTATCCATTCTGCCACTCTCCATCTATTAACTGGTACATTTAATT